TTTTGCACACCCCGCATACGCTCCGCGGCCCCATAGTGAGCTCCACGGAAGGCCCCAGTGGCATGGTTCGCATACTGCCCCCTGTCACTTTGGCACACCCTTCGCACGTTTCGTGGCCCCATAGGGATCTCCACCGAAGGCCCCAGCGGCATGGTTCGCATGCCGCCCCCCCTCCACTTTTGCGCACCCCGCATACGTTTCGTGGCCCCATGGGGATCTCATTGCGGCGCACCCTTCGCGCGTTTCGTGATTATGGGGAGCTCCACCGAATGCAGTTCTCACAACGGCGGTTTTCACTCTTGCATTTGCTTGAGTTCCTCTCCAGGAGCATTTCGTTCATTACCCTCATTTCTTCGTACTGGGAATTGAAGGGCAGGTTTTGGCTCCAGTATTTCGCGCCGACGACGTGTTTTGGACCAGCAGGGGGCTTGAGCTCTTCTCGAATGTGCGTCGTCTCTGGCGGGCCTCGGTATGACTATTCGTGCTGGTGTGCATTCTGTCTTGCAGACACACGCCCTCCTCGCTGCGCACGGGCAGGGATGCGAACCCGGACGAGCATGCAGGTGGTCGCACGGTCGAGGCCGTCGCCTCGCCCTCCCTCTGGGAAAGGGTGGCAGCGAGAGGAGGAGGAGGACGAGGAGGAGAAGGAGGAGGAGGAGGAGGAGACAGAGGAGACAGAGGAGACAGAGGAAACAGAGGAGACAGAGGAGACAGAGGAGACAGAGGAGACAGAGGAGGAGGAGGAGGAGGAGACAGAGGAGACAGAGGAGGAGGAAGAGGAGGAGGAGGAGACGGAGGAGGAGGAGGAGGAGGAAACAGAGGAAGAGGATGATGATGATGAGGAGGAGGCGAGGAGACAGATGATGATGATGATGATGATGATGATGATGATGATGATGATGATGATGATGATGATGATGATGATGATGATGATGATGATGATGATTGATGATGATGATGATGATGATGATGATGATGCGGATGCTGATGCTGATTGCTATGCTGATGCTGTGCTGCTGTGTGCTGTGCTGATGCTGCGTTGCTGCTGCTGCTGCTGCTGCTGGTTGGTGAGTGGTGGGTGGTGGTGGTGGTGGGGGTCGGTGGTGCTGCTGCTGCTGATGATGATGCTGATGCTGATGCGGATGATGCTGATGATGATGATGATGATGATGAGATGATGATGATGATGATGATGATGATGGTGGTGGTGGTGATGGTGATGATGATGATGAGAGGAGAGGAGGAGGAGGAGGAGGGAGACGGAGGAGGAGGAGGAGGAGGAAGAGGAGGAGGAGGAGGAGGAGGAGGAGGAGAGGAGGAGGAGGAGGACGAGGAGGAGGCACAGGAGGAGGAAGAGGAGGAGGAGGAGGAGGATGAGGAGGTCCGTAGTTTTGGCTCAAGGCCCAAGCAGCTTGGAGTTTCATACCCGCGGACACCATTCTGCCACGCATCCTTTCCCGTGGCCATGCCGCACATTTCTTGGGTGCCGCTCCACAGCTTCTGTACCGGCGGCGAAGATGGCGTCACAGGGTGCGAAGTCGGCAGGACTTTCTGTTCGCGAGGACGGCAAGGCCAAGCGTGCAGAGGCAATGGCGCATAAGCTGGATGATCGGGAAGATTGTGAAGAAAGTCTCGCTCATGTTTGTCTCAAGTATTTTGTTGACAATCTTCGTGGGGAGCTCATGGCATCGATACAGGCTGCCCAATCCGCCATGTCGGGCAGTTGGCAAACCCTTTTTTAAACAAGTGTTGCAGCCACATGCGGCGACCTGTCTAAGTCGATCGAGGGACGCATGGCCACCGTGGAGCACACGCAGCGCCAGTATTCCAATCGTTTCGAAAAGGTTGAAGCCGAGATCGGTGAACTACGACGTGCTCTCGACCTCGATCGTGCCGCAGCTCCTGCACCGAAGGCTGTCGACTCTTCATTCAATCGCAGAGTGGACCCGACGGTCAGTGTCGTTCGCAGCAAGCTTGCGATCGCGCAGTTCAGGGCTGAATCGGCTCTTGACGAATGGCTGGCGCGCTGGAACATCGACAGCTCAGACTACAGTTTCAAGGGCGACCCCACGGGCACCAGTGTCACGTTGCAGATGCTTGGCGCCCCAGCGCATGCAGTTCGAAAAGTACAGCAATTTCTGGGGAACGCGCGGCTCCTGAACAACGAGTTCCGCCGCTTCCAGGGCAAGGGCGCCACGAATGAGACAGTCGAGATCTTCGTCGGCGCCGACACGGACCCATCCATGGTCAAGCGAGAACTACCATGCAAAGCTGCTCGCAACGTGCTGTCCCAGACCCGCGCGCAGAAGAAAGTCTTCATCGACTAGGACACTGGGGGGATCTCGAGCAAGTGGAGGCCGCTCCTCAAGACCGCGCACGCGTCCCCGACGGAACCCCCAAACATCCAGAGGTCGACGGCCAACCTGGCGGCAGAGGGCATCGACCGCGCGAGTGTCGAGCAGCGTGTCCTCGAGGTCGTCGCCAACGGCGCGCAGCGCACCGAGTGGTGTTCCTAGCAGGGCGCGCGTGCTGATGCCTGGCCCCTCGTCTTTGTCTCGGACCTGTGCCCCAGTGAGGCTCGCGACGTGGAGTGCTGCCGCTCTTTCTCGCCATGACCATGCGGTTCGTCGCGCAAGGCCAGGTACCTTCAGCCCCTTTTCAAGGGTGGGTCCTAGCTGCTATCCAGGAGACTCACGGTCGTCAAACAGGCGTCGACGACATGCTCCACCATCTTAATCTTCCCTTCTCTGCTGAGCTTCCCCCCTTATTCCAATGTGAACGCTGGCGGCGCCCTGGCGGTGATTCCCACCTTTTCTTATTCCGAGGACGGGCTGATGCGCGCGGGCCCCCCCCCCCCGCCACTATCGGTATATTTTTATATACCGGAGCGGATTTTGCGCGCCAGGGCTCTGGCTTGTGGTGGGCGCTCCTGGGTCTCACAGTACAATGTGCACAACTTCGGCCTGTCCGCAGAGGATCGCGCGTTCGCGCGCGCGCATGGCGGGCGACTCGAACTTGACCCCCCACGCCTCCATCCCCATCAGTTTGGGAGAAGATGCCCCAGACTTCCCTGGACCCGTTCCCCCCCCTCAGCCCTGGACGTCGGTGTTCGAGCGAATGGTGGAGTTTCAGCTTGCGGCCCCCTCCCATTATAACCATGGTCTACGAAATGTCTCTCATATTGATCGGCTGTTTTTTCCGACCCCGTGGATGGGTCCAGGCCCAATGTGCGTCGGGTGGAGAAGTCGCCCATCGTCCCGAGGTCTCCCGTGCCTCCCAGGTCTCCGATCGCGCTGCTGCGGCGGCGACGATTCCGGCCCGGCCCCCCCGCCTCCCGCCGAGTGCCCTGCTCCGCGAGAAATATTTCAGGGCGCCGAGTGTCGACAGTTTTTTTGCGAGCTGCCTGGGGCGCGGCCCCCGTGGATCATGCCCCCCCCCTCCTGCTCGACTGCTGCAAAACCAGATGAAAGCAGCGGCGCAGCGCGCCCGCGGCGCCATCATCTTTAGACGTCCGAATCGCGCGCTACCGAAGTGCATTATTGCACGGGGCATGGTTGGGGCGGTATTTCGACGAGATTGGGGGCTAGCTCTGCTCCTTCATCGTTATCATCTCCTCTGTCGTGAACACCTCACTCTTGATCATCGTTCGCAGTCGGTCTCGCTGTCTAACCTTGCTGTCTACGCCTCTCTCTCGAACTCGCTTCGCTGGGAGTTCGCGCGGCCGGCGTCGCGGAAGGCGCAAGCTGAGAACAGTGCGGTTCTCAACCCGAACCAGCAGCTGCGAGCCCGTCGGCGCGCGGCAGGGCAGAGAGCTCGCGACCAGCTCTGGGCCCCATTCGGGAAAACTAAGTTCCTTGCAGATGTTCGAGTTGCCAATCAGCCCGAAGTTCGATCAGCCAAAGGAATCCTCGGCGCTCTTGCCACGCACTGGGCTCCAGCATTTCGTTTGAGAGCACGGAGGCAGCGGAGCTCTTGGGCCAGCATGACCTGGCCCTGCCCGCGCTCGCGACCCCACCGCTGGCCTGCGGCCCGTTCAAGCGTTGCGCAGGCAAGCTCGCGCACGGCGTTCCAGGGCCCGACCTTTTGCCCTCATGCTTGGCAGCAGGCGCCTCAGGGTGCTTTGCGTGCTCTAACAGTGCTTCCAGTGGGTTTTGATTGGCCAGCAGCTCCTGCGCGGGCTGAACTTGCCGACGGGGCTCTTCATCCCCGAGGGGGAGGAACCCGGTGATAGCTTAGGGGGAGGGATTGTTCGAAAGCCAAGTGGCACGAGACCTCTCGGGCTTCAGAATTGCGATGACAAGGTTTTGATTGGCTTTTGCATTCGCTGCCTTACCTGCGCCCTCGCCAAATGCACCGACAAGGCCGAAAACGGTGTCGTTCCTCGGGTGCATTTTGGAAACAACATCATCGAAGTTGACGGTCTGGCGAGAGTGCGCAGTATGCAGCCTACTCCGACGACGTCAGTTCCATGTCTCCTGGCTTACGATTTCGGGCAGGATTGGTTGTTCATGGATGTGCGGCGCCCCCATCGTCCTACGCCGCCCGCGTAGTCTCACGAGTGTGTTCGTTCAGATCCAGTGCGGGATTGCCCACGGATGCCCCGCCAGCGGCTGCCTGTTCGCCGGGGGCATGGGCTCCTTTATGTGCCTCTTCCACCTGCTGCTGGAGGATGCTGCGCGCGGCTTCCTGACAGTCACTACTCTCTCCAGAGTATTTCTGGGACGTCAACCTTGCGAATCAACGTGACTTCTGCGCCCTGATACTCTTCAATCGTGCCAGGAGACCATTCCTGGGACCGCACCCTTACGAATTCGATACGATGTTGCAAACTTTTGAGACGAATGTGCGCGGCGCTAAGGGGAGAGCCACATGTTGAAAAGGACCTGCCCTCCATCATTGAAGCTGTTGTTGATTTATGAGACGGATGCGCGCGGCGCTCAGGCGAGAGCCATATAGAAATGGACCCGCCCTCCATCCTTGAAGTTTCTGCAAGCTTGTAAGGCGAATGCGCGCGGCGCTAAGGCGAGAGCTACATAGAAATGGACACGCCCTCCATCCTTGAAGCTGTTGCACATTTCAAGCTTCATAATCAAGCGTGGGGAGGAGGTCTCAGGCGAAACGCCCAGCCCAGCCCTACCTACCGACACGTCTGGTGGTGCGGCATGGACGGGGCTCTTCATGCGGATAAGGGATGGAGGAGCGGGAGCAGAAGATATGGATGAGGAGGAGGAGGCAGATGGAGGGAGGAGGACGAGGGGGCGTAGAAAGAACAACAGGAGGAGCAGCATCAGAGCGCACCCCGCCAAGCGGAGGGCTCGGCCGAGGGCTGGACCCAGCGGCCGCCTCCCCAGAGAGGGAGCCTTGGTGTGGTTCCACGGCGCTCCGCCAACGCGGGGGAGGGGCAGACCAGCCGCACGTGGTCAGGAGATGGCAGTGTGCCAATACCGCTGCCGACCCCCGCGTCGTTCCCAGATCCGAGGCGGGAATATATCGATCTCCGGGGGATCGATCCGCCTGGGGGATCTTTCTATGGGAATATCGGTAGACGACGGATGTGGATGCGTTCGGCCCCCCTGGTCTCAAAATGTGATCCATATCCAGCGCCCGCTGGGGGGCCGTGACGCGGTTTCCCAGGCGGTGGACATGTATGAATCTTCGCCCCGCACCAGAGCTCCCGACGACGTGTAAGCCAGCCCCAGCTGGATTCGCCTCGAAATTTTGGTCCGAACGCAAGTGTGGAGAAGTCCAGGGAGTAGCTGCATCTGTGCCTTTTTTTGTCCCCCTAGGTCCTAGGTGGGGGAGCTGTGGTCCTTGCCCCGCTGGAGGACCCATCGGCTTCGACACCCCTCCTGGGAGTTCGATACGATGGGTCCCCCACCGGGGTTTCAGGAACTCGGCTCCCCCAGTTGTGCCCAGTGGGGAGGGTGGGTTGGGGGAGGAGGGCACGTGTGGGGTGTACGGTGTGCAAGTGTAACTCGGCGGCGGAGAAGGCCTTCTCAGAAGGCGTCGGGACTTCTCAGAAGCCCTTGCGCCTTGTGAGAAATGTTGATTTGTTTTCGGGGAATGCTTAGAAAACTGTTCAGAAGGCTGGGGGACTTCCGAGCCTTCTGAGAAGGCCTTCTCCTTCTCATTTCCCCCCCTCGCTCGCCGCCAATTAACCATTTGAGGGGCGTGCTGTTCGATCTTTAAATGTTCTCGGGCCTGCATGTGTGACCGCTGTGTAGACTACAAATCGTGACAGCTTCATATGTTTGCGCAATATCCTTCGACTCAGAATTATGTTGTACCATACATCTGCTTCCAGCCATTCACTGTCACCGAAGTGCGCTTTGGTTTTTTGCATCCTGCCTATCTCATTGTTAGGCCATCGTCGTTCCTGTCGATCTCTCCCATCTGCCTCCTAAGTGCACGGCTGGGAACCTTTGGGTTATCATATATTTCCTTGACGCATTGGCTGCCTTCGACCTTAGCTGCCCTTCTCTATGTGTCCCCGCGTCAGCACGACCACCTGAGCAACTGGAACATGTTCACTCAGGCAACGAGGGAGGAAGGGAGGAGAGTGGGGAGGAGGAGGAGGAGGAGGAGGAGGAGGAGGAGGAGGAGGAGGAGGAGGAGGTGGAGGAGGAGGAGGAGGAGGACATGGTTTTCGAAGTGTTGCTGCGGTCTCGGAGGTTTCTCGAGGTTCCTGGACGTCTCGGGAAGGTTCCAGAAGGCTCCGTGAGAGGGTGCCCTCCTCTGCCGCCAAGACCTTCCGGGCTTCGGTGGCGTCACGGCGGCAAAGGTGCTGACGACGGGGCGGCCGTCCGTGGCCCAGGCCGGCAAGGGCCTCGCGGGGGTTGCAGCCTAAGTGTGAGCAGCGGGGGCATGAGGTGCAGATTCGCCGGCGGGCCCGCAGAGATCGGAGGAGCGAGGGGGGAGGAGGAAAGCACGCTTCCTCCACCCACACTGGGTTCTGGCGGGGGTGGGGGAGGACAATATCTAGGAGTGATGCTGCCGAGAGGGCGCGATGTCGCGCATAAGATAAGGAGGAGGAGGAGGAGGAGGAGGAGCGGGAGAATGGGGAGAACGAGTGAGTGGGGAGGGAGAAGAGATCGATAAAGAGAGCGAGAGAGGGACGTGGAGTGTGGAGGAGGGAGGGGGAGACGAGGAAGAGGAGGGAGGCCAGGGAGAGGAGGGAGACGAGGAAATTTGGAGACGACAGCAAGGGAAACGAGGGACGGAGGAGGAGTCGAGACAAGATGAGATGTTATAGGATGGTATGTTATGAAATGAGGGAAGGAGGAGAGTGGGGAGGAGGAGGACGAGGAAGAGGGAAACAGAAATAGAGAGAGAGAGAGAGAGTGCCGACAAAGAACGCGCGCACGCGTCCATCCCCCTCAACAGGATTGTTGGGGGTGGGGTGCTCCTGCGCGCGCTCGAGATGTTCGTGTCCCAGCCTCTGCACACGTGCCTCGGCTGTGCCCGAGAGTGAGCT